GCGAGGTGACGAGGTAGAGCTCTGGACGCCCAAAATGGGTACGGTGCCCAACACCGATTGTTGACCAAGACCTGCAGCGCCCGCTGTTCGGCAGGCGGCCTGTTGTCTCAAATAGACGACGTCCGCGGCGACGCCGACAGCGAGACCGATTCAGAATGAACAGGCACTGTTGTCGGTCTTCGTACCCACTCTTTCCGGACCAGCCTGTTCTTGCATTGCTCGCGACAGCTGGCGTGATCGGGGGAGGGGGGCGGGGAGTTCGCCCCCCCCGATCACATCACGGCGGGGGGCCGCCGGAAATCTCAGGAAATGCTGGAAGAATTCGTAGGACATCTTTGCACACGCGGGCAAAATAGCGCGACGCGATCTGGGGGCAGGAGGGGGGGGGGGGGCAAGGGGAACGGCAAATCACGGACGTTACCGCCCAGACTTAAGCAAAAAGAACATCCCCCTTTCCGTACCCACTCCGGTCGTACCGAGCGGTCGAGACACGAGATGCGCTCGCGGAAGCTGCTCGGCAGCCGACCACGAGAGGCCTCCTCTGGCTGGAGTGGCGCCCTGCGGGCCAGGAGTAGACGCCGACGCCCGCGGCTGCGTGCGGAAGCGCGACCTCTATGGCGGCGGCGGGGGGGGGGCGTCGCCCCCGTAGATGATGTTGAGAACGCTGGTTTTTAGTTTTCAAGATCGACGTGTTTGTCAGTTTTGATGGTCCGTCTTTTGTCCGCTTCGGGATTCTCGGTCGCGCCGTTGTCGGTGTGGTTCCGCCTTGTGCTGCTGTGTCTTCCCATGCTTTGGGCTGCTTTGCTTTTCCGCCCCGGTTGGCTGGAAATGACTACCTACCAGACCACCCCAACCCAACCCGAAGACCCGAATTTGACCCGAATTTCGGGTGGGGGGGTACGGGTTCCATGTGTTTTTTCAGTGTTCCCCAACCCCGCCCACTGGAAATTGAGAATAAATTTGGGCCTTCGGGTAGGGTTGGGGTGGTTTGGTGGGTGGTGAAGACACCGAAGAACTGCGCCAGGGTGCCTGGCGGCGCCATGCAAGCACCAGTCGGGCCGCATCGGATCGTCGGAGAGCCGGGATCGAAACACATCGGATCGCATCGAGCCGGCCAGAATCCGCCGACCCCTTGGGTTCACGGTGTGTGAAACCTGATCGGACAAGAACGGGAAGCGCCGCTGTAGTCAAATGGGCGTAGTGGGCGAAGAAGAGAAGAAAGGCGAGGACAACGAGGAGCCGATGACGAGGACGAAGTGGCGAACGTGAGGGTAGCGAGGAGGAGCATGAGGACAACGAGGAGGAAGAGAAGCACAAGGACGAGGACGAAGAGAACGAGGGCGAATCGAGCCGGCCAGAATCCGCCGACCCCTTGGGGTCACGGCGTGTGAAATGCTTCCCCCACCCCAAACCCCCCCACGGGAGCCTGGTCCGGCCAGATTTGTTTTTACCAGCGCTATTTTGGAGAGGAGGGAGGAAGAGGCGAAAGGGAGACAACGCACACACCTGATCATTGTCCGACTCGTGCCGGAAAGTCGGCAGGCAATCCTGGTCCGGCCAGTTTGGGGGGGGGGGAGGAAAAAGTGCCGGCCGCACCCTAGGGGGGCCCCAAAACGAGCCAAGAGGGCCCCAGAGGGCTCCCCGGACGGTCCAAGAGCCAAGAGGGCTACGAGTCGCCAAAGATCGCTCCAAGACGCATAAGATTGCCTCCAGACGGCCCCAGAGGCCCCCAAGACGCCCCAAGAGCCCACCAAGAGGCGTCCCAAGAGGCCCTCCAGAAGCAGAAATTGTCACATTCCCGACGCGAGACGTACATCCTTGGCACATTCACCTCTTGGGCTTTCACGAGGCCCACAACGGCCCAAGAAACCTTCAAAATCGACCCAAGGCAGCCCAAGAGGCCCCCAAGAGGGCTCCAAGACGGCCCAAGAGGGCCCAAAGACGGCCCCAGAAGCCTCCGAAACGGCTCAGGAAGGCCCCAAGAGGAGGCCCAGAGGGGAGCCCGAATGGACATGTCGAGCACTCGGCCCCGAAATTACCCTGTGACGTACCCAACCCATTTGTATCAGTGGAAACGATGAGTTGGCCGAAACTTGTATGGACAATCAACTTGATGTGTAAGCTACTTGGGAGGCGTCACTGTGCTGGGCCCCGCAGGCAGGCCCCGAAAGTGGCGACAGATTCGCAGATCGCAACCCCCCAGGGATGGCGAGGTCAAATTTGAATCTGCGTGTGGCGTCACTGTGCTGGGCCCCCCAGCAGGCCGCGAAAGTGGCGACAGTTTCACAGATCGCAGCCCCCCAGGGATGGCGAGGTCCATTTGAATCCGCCGTGGGTACCCACTGTGCTGGGCCCCCCAGCAGGCCTCGAAAGTGGCGACAGTTTCACAGATCGCAGCCCCCCAGGGATGGCGAGGTCTAACTTGAATCCGCCGTGGGTACCCACTGTGCTGGGCCCCCCAGCAGGCCTCGAAAGTGGCGACAGTTTCACAGATCGCAGCCCCCCAGGGATGGCGAGGTCTAATTTGAATCCGCCGTGGGTACCCACTGTGCTGGGCCCCCCAGCAGCCTCGAAAGTGGCGACAGTTTCACAGATCGCAGCCCCCCAGGGATGGCGAGGTCCAATTTGAGTCCGCCGTGGGTGCAAACTGTGCTGGGATGGCGAGGTCCATTTGATCCGCCGTGGGTACCCACTGTGCTGGGCCCCCCAGCAGCCCTCGAAAGTGGCGACAGTTTCGCAGATCGCAGCCCCCCAGGATGGCGAGGTCCCATTTGAGTCCGCCGCGGGTGCAGATTGTGCTGGGCCCCCCAGCAGCCCTCGAAAGTGGCGACAGTTTCGCAGATCGCAGCCCCCCAGGGATGGCGAGGTCCATTTGAGTCCGCCGCGGGTGCAGACTGTGCTGGGCCCCCCAGCAGGCCTCGAAAGTGGCGACAGTTTCGCAGATCGCAGCCCCCCAGGGATGGCGAGGTCCCATTTGAGTCCGCCGCGGGTGCAGACTGTGCTGGGCCCCCCAGCAGCCCTCGAAAGTGGCGACAATTTCACAGATCGCAGCCCCCCAGGGATGGCGAGGTCCCATTTGAGTCCGCCGCGGGTGCAGACTGTACTGGGCCCCCCAGCAGGCCGCGAAAGTGGCGACAGATTCGAAGACCGCAGCCCCCCAGGGACGGCGAGGTACCATTTGAGTCCGCCGCGGGTGCAGACTGTGCTGGGCCCCCCAGCAGCCCTCGAAAGTGACAACAGTTTCGCAGATCGCAGCCCCCCATGGATGGCGAGGTCCCATTTGAGTCCGCCGCGGGTGCGGAATGTGCTGGGCCCCCCAGCAGGCCTCGAAAGTGGCGACAGTTTCACAGATCGCAGCCCCCCAGCTGGCACGCAGCGACGAGCGAGGCAAAAGGCAAGGGGGAAGAGAGGGACGGGAGGGGGTGGGAAGGAGACGCGCGAGCAGTGCTCTATTCAAAACGAGAACCCAACGCAGGAGGGTTGGGAAAAACCTGAGCAGGCGCCAAGAAGCCCCAAAGAGGCTCCCACGAGGCCCCTGAGAGGCCCAAAAGAGGCCCCTAGAGGCCTCAACACGGCTCCCAAGAGGCCGCCAAAGTGCTGCCAGGAGAACCCACAGAAGCCCAAGAGCAGAGCCGCGATCGGCCAACCACCCCCGACGAAATCTAAAGAAGCTGAAAGCCCAAGGTTCCCCAGAAATCGCGCGCATTCCGCAAACTCCGTTTTCACTCTTACTGCCGCCCCAAGGGGTCGGCGGTTCGGCGTCAGCCAATGAATCGATATCGGGCCAATGTTCTGGTCGATTGGCGCCAACATCGCCCCGATCCGCGACTCCACCACCAAATACGGCGAAGTGCGTTGGCCTCGGGAAGGGATCTCTGGTGGTCGCGGGGACGAAGACGAGGAGGAGGAGGAGCAAACAGAGCCCGCCCACGGCCGCCAAGACATCAACTTGGGCTGGGAGGTCGCGAAGACGCTCCACCAGGCGCCCGTGCGTGATGTCGATTGGGCGTGGAGGTGTCGCTTGATCGGCCAGCCATGTGCACATGCTGGCATCCACGGGCGGCCTTACGAAAGTCGACGACGCGGAGCGTGCGAAGGACATATGCCCCGCGTGGAGGAGGGATTCGATAGAACGAGGCGGATGGGATGCGCCAGCCACCGCATGCGGCCTGCGCGCGTGGCCCAGCATCCCCCAAAACAGTGGTCGCCCAGAGCAAAACACATCGGGGTGCACGGGAGCAGTGGCGTCCCCCCCATTTGCTCAGCTCGGGGATTGCTGGCGGGTCCAAGTAGGTGGGGCTGGAGCATCGCGCCGCATCGCCGATGCGACGCACCGTCGGCAGTGCATCGGCGACATCGGCGCGGGGAAAATCTGGCCCCACATCGAGCCGCATCGCCGATGCATCGGCGATGCGGCGCGATCCTCCGAACCTCATTTCGAATACCCAAATTCATGCTCATGCTCAGCATCGTTCCCCAGAACGCATGCTCAGCATGAGCGTTGTCGCAGCGGTACGTCCAAGGATTGCTGACAGCTGGAGCGGCACATGTTCGCGCGAGGTGGAAGAGGGTTCGCCACGCAGGTAGCCACGGATGGCACCGACGCAACGGCGCTGGTCAAGGACTGCCCTAAGTGGAATCCGTCGCCGCATGCACTCCGTCCTGTGATCGCGGCAGCTCTCGATCGGCAAGGCACGTTCGTTTCTCACGCGCTGGCATCCCCAAGAGCGGGAACAGGCTCAGGACCCTCTCGGCTATCAGTTGCTGGAGGTTATGACCATGTGTGGTCGAGCCCTTCGGGCATGGATCAGGGGCTCGACAGCATTGGTACGTGTTGCGAGATGTAGCCACTCTGCGTCCGTTTCGTCTGCTCATGTGCCCACGTTGGGCGATAACGTCGCAGCAACACGCGCCATTCGAGCTAATCGTTGGCAGCATGCGCGTGCAGCACGGAGAGATCAACCTCGAAGCCGACGTCGTGGTCACGAATCTGATCATTTCTGCGTGCACGCGTGTCGCACTGTAGAAGAGACCAGATCGGTCGAAGGCGACAGGGCGGACGCCACTGATCAGAACACAGCCACGGGCGAAGAGGACGAGGACGAGCGGGAGGACCCGGAGGGCTTTTTGTCCCCGCGAGCCGGCCCGCCGTCGTCCGTGGCCTTGGGCCGAAGGATGGACTCAGAGGCAACAGTTCCGGGGGATAAAATCTCCGGACGCCCTGGACGGGATTTGGTCAGCAAGGGCTCCTAAGTTCGCGCTTCGCGCTGCGCGAAGCGCGAATAACTTCGCGCCCTCGCGCCGCCCCCCAAGGGGGAGAAGAGGAGGACGAGGAGGAGGGGGAGAAGGAACGAGGACCGCGAAGCGCGAAGCGCGAATAACTTCGCGCCCTCGGGGGAGCCCTTGGTCAGGCCACCTCGAAGAACGCATCTAGGACTGCCAGACAACGTTGTCCCCCAGCGTTCGAGAGCAACTCGCGGAAGCGTTCGCTCGTCCCCATGGCACCAGATAGCGCGTCCAACAGCTTGCAAAGCGGACGCGCTGCATCCCCCCACACGGCGCCATTGGGCGCTCTTTGGGCGCTATCCCGCCTCTATTGAACAGTATTGGGCGCTGCTGGGAGCTTTTGTGCCCTATCGGGCGGCTATTCATCGATATGCATCAAATTCAAGACGATCGGAAGCCTCAGCGACTTACTTCTGGTCGACCAAAAAGGGGGATCCAGCTGAAAGGGGGTGGTGCAATAGACTTGGGGCAAATGTATTGCAATCGTATTGCGCCAGAGAGTTGTATTGCATTGTGTTGCGTCGAACGTGTTGCACGCGAAAACCCAGCAACACATTTGCACCCCAGAATGTATGTTGCACGCCCCGAAATGTATTGCACGCCCCACGAATCCATTGCACCAAATCTTTTGCACCACCCCCTTGTCGCTGGACCCCCTTTTGGGTCACTCCGATTGCTATCCTCGCCATCGCTCGGACGTCCATTCCCTGTGCTTTTTCGGTTTCGTGCGGGGCTTTCTCGCCAAATGATCAAGGATGCTCCTCGATGGTCCTCGCCGAAGGAAAAATTTACACGTCCGAGCGATGCCATGTATCTAACCCAGCGGCGTCCTGCGGGGCACCTTTCGGAGCTCCCTCCGCTTCCGGCCCGCGTGGGCAGACGTGGCGAGCACCAGAGGCCCCCCGGTGGGGATCCCGTCGCTCCGGCCGCCTAGGGAGGCTCACAGAGCGAGGAGGGGCGCCTCCTGGCGGTGAGAAGCCCCGCGGTGCTTGTGCCGGCGGCGAGCCCAGGGGGGAAGCGAGGGGCGGCAGACCTGCTCGGAAGGCTCGGAAGGCCTCGGGCCTCCTGGAAAGTGTTCAGGGCCTCCTCCGGAGACAGAGGCGGCTTCTAAGAAGGCGCGAGGGCTTCTCAGAAGCCCCGCCGCGCCACCTTCTGAGAAGGCCTGCCCCCTCGCACTCCCCCCCCGCCCGGGCGCGCCGCGGATTGTGGCAAGTCACGCGCGGCGAACATATCTGTATCCGCGCCCTCGCGGTCTGGACTCCAGGGCGCGATCCTGCGGATACGCGGAACCGCTGCCACGTTGCGCGCGGGGCATCCGCGAACGAAACGCCCCGTACGATCTGTGGGGTCGCGGCCCATAGGCCTGGCCCGCGACCCCGCGGAAACGGACATGCTTGTCGCCCACGAACAGGATCAGGCAAACGTCCCGGACGGCTCGCTCCTCAGGTGCCGCGACGCGCGGGGAGGCCCGAAGAAGTTGTTGATGCCGGGCACCTTGGCGGTGTTTGCCTCCCAGCTGTCCAGCTCGCCGCACACCTCCGCGGTCGCCCTCGCGGCCGCCGCCCTGCCCGAGCGGCTCGTCGAGGCCGCCATGGCCGGCACGGACGCGCTGCGGTGCAGGGACGACGTGTGCGTCATGGAGGACATGTGCGACACGTCCACCGGGGCCTCACGAGCGGCGAACATACAGTCGGGCTGCTGAAACAAGGTACGATGAACAGGGAACGAAGCCCCTTTTTGGCCCCACAAGCACCTGCGTGCACGAGGAAGGCTAGAAGAAAAGCCATAGAAGGACCTAAGGAATATCGAGCCCCTCTCTTACCCAATCTGCTCCTTCTTTCAACGACTTGGCTGTTTGAGTATCCGCGGCCTCGCGGTCTGGACAACGCCCCGCGTGGGGCACCCGCCAAAAAAACACCCCGTATCCGTGGGGTCGCGGCCCCGGGGCCCAGCCCGGGAGGCCGCGGCTACGGTCATGGCTTTCGCCCACGACTCGCGGGATCATTTCGCTCCCTTCTTGGGGCGCTGCTGGGCCATCGCACGGCCATCTGAAGGCCTCCGACGCCATGGGAAGCCGCGAGGGCGAGGAGGCGGAAGACATCCAAACACTAGTGCCTCATGATTCTGGCCTGTTCGGGGTCTCCATGGGAGCTTCGGGGGCACCTTGGAGCCATCTCGGGGCCTTCTCGGGGCATCTTGAAGCCGTGTAGTACTGATCGTTGTCTTATTCCTTGTTTTGCCGATCGGCGCAGGTCCTCGCACCCCCCCTCCCTCCCCCCTCATGGAGTAGATCTTGGCTGTTTTGGGCGTCTGTTTCGAGGGGGGAGTCTCCCCCAAAGGACGCACGGTTCCAAACAGCCGCACAAGCAGAGGTCTGGAGCCCCTCCCCCCCTCTTCCGCCCAGTGTCGAAACGCCGAATAAGAAACGCTCACTAGGGGCACAGCCCGCGAGGCCGCGGATACGGATCTCTTTTTCGCCCACGCGGGCCCTCGAGTGCGGCGACGTGGGCGCCAGCACGGGGTAGACCATCCGCCTCCTCGGGGGCGGGAGGTCGCCCTCGGACCTGCTGGCGTTCACGTGGGAGGTGCGGCTGAAGCTCCCGGTGACCCGCGATCCGCCGCCCCTGACGGAGGAAGAAAGACTTGGGTAGGGCATGTCCCCCTACAGGCGGCTTCTCGACGATAAATTAAACATCAGCCAGCGTTGACTTCAAATAGATAGGAGGACAGGAGGAGGACGAGAGGAGGATGGGAGGAGGACGAAAGGAGGACGGGAGCAGGACGGGAGGAGAACGGGATGAGCAAAATCGAGCAAGCGCAAGCAAGCAAGCAGGAACAAGCAAGCGCAAGCGAGCAAAAACAAGCAAGAATGAGCCAGCGATCACGTGCAAGCAAGCAGGGGCAAGCAAGAGCACGCAAGCGAGAGCAAGCACGCAAGAGCAAGCACGCACGTGCCATTGGAAAAACGAGGGGGGGCATTGGAACAGGGGGGGAATTGGAAGGGGGGGTCCTAACGACCAATTATTTATGATGAGCTAGGACTCCTATATGGCAAGCGTATTTGGAGGACATGCTCAAAACATAATCGAACAAATATTCAAACATAGTTAAAAATCGTCCCCGGACTATATTTGGACAAATTCTCTGAATATTCCTCCTGTAGAAGGACAGGCCCGACTTTGATAAAGACCTGCATCACCATATAGATAAAGACCTGCATAATCATGAAGATGTGTGGAGGAGGCCTGCGCGGAATTCCTGGATCTGTGCTGTACCCCCCCTCCCCTATCGCGCGGAGCGCGCCAGGTGCGGCGCCGAAGGCGCCGCCAGAGGGCCCGGCGCAGATCTAAGGAAATCCGAGCGGCGCTCCGAAAGTTTGTGTTTATGCAGCAGCTGTACCTTTCCCAGGCCCCCAGCGCCATACATTTTTCATGACGTGGACCCCCATCGGGGGGAACGAAAGGGGAGGATAGCAGAGGGCAGGGTAGAGAATCAGCTCACGTAGCCGATTTTCCCAGCGCCTCCTGGCGCCGGGAGGCGCCCATGTATCGAGGAATGGGCCCGGCGGCGGGGCCGAAACCAGCTGCACGCAGCAGATTTCGTGTAACCCCCCCTTTCCTTATCCCCCCCTTTCGTCCGGCCCAACCCCAGCGGTCTGGACCCATTCCCCTGGAAAGGTTTTGCATCCCGAGTCGGTTTGTCGACGGAACCGAGGGCCGGGAAGGGCCCCCAGGAGGCCGAACATAGCGAAACACTCCCCGTCATGATTTTTTTGTCACGACCAGAGGGGGTTTGGGTTTTTCGACCTGAGCACGGTGGATGCGGACCAGTCCTCGCCAAGGAGCGTCTTCGACTGGTCCAGCGGAGGAGGCGCCACTGTCGGCCGGAACTGCGCCTTCGCGTGCGCAGCCAACATCTCGTCGTTCCTGGGGGAACCAAAAAGTAAGGATCCTCCTCCTCCTCCTTCCCCCCCTCCTCCTCCTCCTCCTCCTCCTCCTCCTCCTCCTCCTCCTCATCATCATCCTCATCATCATCATCATCATCATCAGCATCATCATCATCATCGCTACTGCCTGGACCCCTCCCCAGGTGCGTGCTGACCAGAGCTGCGAGGAGAATCCAGCCGTGGCGACGAGGGCTCTCCAGAACGAGCAGCGGTATCGGTACAGTCGGGGTTGATTGGAGAGCACACGCGAGAGGACACGAGACCCTTCCGAGGGCCACATTGCCACTGGAATGCAGGAGGCATGGGTCGCGAAACACAGGACACAAAAGGGTACTTACCCTTGGTTTGGCAGGGTCGACCTACTAATCAACCTCGCCTGCACCTGCTCTTGGAGGCGGCTGGAGGATCTAAACTGCTTTGGACCCCAAATTTCGGTCAGGAGTCGGCCACACGAAGAGAGGGAAGGGGGAGGGGGAAGACTTCTTAGCAGAACCCCTGCTTCTTAGAAGGCGCAGGCCTTCTCTGTAGATGTAGGGCGGGAGGCTTCAAAGAACCAGGCTCCTTCTAAGAAGCCTTCCCCCCTCCCCCTACCCCTTTGTGCGCGCCGCCAAAGGAGAGGGGATGAAGCCAAATACGCTCAAAATGGGTCCCCAGACCCCTCCAGGGGTCCATCTGGTGCAGTTTCCCAGAGGCGCGCAAACATGGATTAGCGATCCATGGATTTGGCGCGCGGTCGCCAAATCCATGGATCGGGGGAGGTGCCCTCCCAAGAATGCGGCCGGTGCCGCCTCGCTCGGCGGAGGAACCCCGCAATTCCCCATGGAACCTGGACACGTCGCTAATCCACGCCCCCTTGATCCCTGTTTGCGATCGCCTGAGCTCCTCACCAGATTAGTTTTTCGTTGTCCAGGGGCTCGAGAACCGCCTCCGACACAAGCAAAAAACAGACGTCCCGCACCCAGCAGCTCGAGCCTGCCCGCCCGTCCTGCCGGCAGGAGCCGGTGCTGGGCCACCTCAGGCCCCCAGACGGCTCCAATAGAGGCCTCCTAGTTCGGGTCCGAGGAGACGGGGTCCGAGGATCGCGCTGCATCGCCAATGCATCGGCGATGTATCGGCGATGCATCGGCAATGCATCGGGGACGTCGGCGATGCATCGCCGACGTCGGCGTGGGGAATCACGGGCTCCACATCAAGCCGCATCGCCGATGCATCGGCGATGCAGCGCGATCCTCCGACCCCATCTACCCGGACCCCATCTAGGAGGCCGAGATCCAACTGGCCATTGCTCGGACGTCCATTCCGTGTTTTTTTGGTTTCGTGCGTGGATTTTCGCCAAATGATCAAGGATGCTCCTCGATGGTCCTCGCCGAAAGAAAAATGCACACGTCCGAGCGATGCCAAGCCAAGTGGTATCGGTACCTGTTTCTTCTCAGAGTTCCTGCGGGAGCCCACGTTCCCGAGCCTCGTGGGCGACGTGGGGATCGAGGCCATGGCGACCTCCTCTGGGCGGCGACATCCGAAGTCCCTGCCCACAGTGACCATCGCTTCTCCCGAAGCGATGGGAGGCGGGGCAATTCGACGCATTCGACGAATGCCTAAATGGCGGGTCTGTTGGGCGGGCGGGACACTAAAATGGGGCGCTCTCGCCCGAGCACGCGCGAGCGAACCATAACGGGCAGGTCGGGGCGGGTGGGCGGACCCGAGCGGGCGGGTCGGGTCAGGTCCGGCGGGCGGGCCCGACGGGGCGGGTCGGGTCGTGCGGGCGAGACATTGAAAAGTCGGGCTGTTCCCAGGGAAGCGATTCGGACTTCGCCGCATGTTCGACGAATTCCGACCCCCACACCGCCAGACCCCCGACGCCGTGATTTCTTCACAACCTCGACCCCCAGGAGGTCTGGACCCCCTCACCGAGACCGGCTCTTCAGCCCGAGTCGCTCTTTGACAGTCCCGGGGCCCGGGAGGGGCCCCCAGAGGCCGAAAAGAGCCAAAAACCTTCCGTCCATCGAATTGGTCGGGAGGGGGAGGAGGAGGAGGAGGAGGAGGAGGAGGAGGAGGAGGAGGAGGAGGAGGGGGGGGGGGAGGAGGAGGAGGAGGAGGAGGAGGAGGAGGAGGAGGAGGAGGAGGAGGAGGAGGAGGAGGAAGTGACTTTTGTCACAGCGCGAGGGGGTCTGGGCCCGCCGACCACCGAATCGGTCGGCGAGGGTGCGGCTCGGACTTCGCCCCCCGACGCCTCGGAGCGCGCGCCGCGCTCGCGCGCCCCCTGCGTCCCGCCGTGGACGGGCGTCGCCGCCCGCGGCGGCCGCGGCCAGCCCGGCTCTGTGCTCCTGGCGACGACGGCGACGACGACGACGACGACGACCACGACGACGACGACGACGACGACCACCACCACCACCACCACGACCGCGACTCGTGGACCGAGACCACAACCACGACTGTGACCACGTCGTGTTGATCCTCTCGCGGACGACGACGACGACGACGACGACGACCACCACCACCACCACCACGACCACGACCGCGACTCGTGGACCACGACCACAACCACGACTGCGACCACGTCCTGTTGATCCTCTCGCGGAACTCCACACTGAGCTCGTGCCCGGAGCCAGGGAACAGGGTCTCCTCACGAATGAGCCATCCTCAGATCCTGGCGTTGCCATTTTTGTCACACTTGGCCTTTCTGCACGGATTCGGGCCCCGGGACTCTCACAGATCAATACCGCTCAAAGATGGCGCAGATAGATGGTGTCCGGGGCTCCGGCGGTCTGGCGGTGATTTTGCGGATGTTGCAGTTTGTTGGCAACATCAGATCTGGAGGCCACGGGGGGGGGGGTCGGAGGGAGGAGAACTGGCTATGGGAAAGGGTGCAGGTTGCCGACACTGGGGAAGCGCCAGGTCGAGCGGGGACCCGCATCCGACAACACACACCCATAGCCCCCATCCGTCCCAACTATCAGGGGTATGGGTGCGTGTTGTTGCTCGTCATCTCCAGGGCGTGCTCGTTGTCTGCGTGGATGAGGCCTCGGAAGTCCGACCTGAGGGACACGTCCGGGCGCTCCGCCTTGATCGCGGTGCGGCTGAGCCGGTCTCCCAGGCAGGAGTTGTCGGCGGCGGGCTGCAGCACGTCCTCCGAGCTGCGCTCGGCCACTGGGGCCCCCGAGAGCAGCATCAGCCTGTCGGTGTGCGCCTGGCGCAGCTGGAGGTCGGCGCGGATGTCGTGGCGGCGCTCCTGCTCGATGTCCGTGAAGACCTTCTTCCAGGTCTCCTCGTTCTGCATCCTGGCCGCGATCATGCGCATGGCCTCGCGATCGCGCTTCAGTACGGTGGAGGTGAGCACCTTCTCGGGTGGTCGTTCACGCGGGGCAGCTTCGGGCCCCTTTATATAGGGCCACGTTCCTGCAGTCCTCGTCCCCCCCCAACTTCATGGGGTGGCCAAAAGACACCGATACCTCCCGGGGTGCCTTCTGACCAGAGTTCCGAAGTCAATCCTGCCGTGGCGACGAGGGCTTCCTTGTGGGCCCAAAGAGGCGAGAACGAGGCAAAGGGGGCGGTATCAGTACCCTTTGTCGCCGATAGGTCGGCGATAGGCCCCCGATGGCGAATCCACGTGTTCCTGGACGGGGTGTGCAGATCAGGCCCCTACCGGCGATGAATGGGCGATGGGGGGCGATGCATCCCCCCTAAGCCTATCCATCGGCTACACGCAAGAGTGACCCTAGGCAAGAGTGACCTTTACTGCGCGGCCAAGGGAGGCCTTTTGGGGGGCACCACCAGGCGCGCAAGCAGCTGCTATCGCATCGCGTTCAGCGATCGGGGGGCCCCATTGGGCCCGCACGAAAGGTCACTCCGGCGAAAGGTCACTCTCACGTGTAGTCGAATCCATCCCTATCGTTACTCCTTGGCTTTTGGGCCACAGCTCGGCTCTCCGTGGGCCGTTTCGGACGAGCCGCGCTCCCCCGGGACGCCCTCGGCGAGGCGCAGCCGCTGCAAGGCACCGCGAGGCGGGAGAACCGCCGAGGACCGACGACAACGCGCGAAAACCTCGAACCTCAGACCTCGAAAACCTCGAACCTCGAACGATGCCCAAGATTCTCTCCCGCCTCCCTCCCGAACGTTGCACCTGACTCTTCCCTCCCCCGCCCGATGAGGCGCGCGTGCGCGACGTGAGGGCGAGAGCACGAGCGACCGAGCCGAGCGCTCGCCTGAGTCGCGGGCGCTCCTCTACGTTTATTGCCCCCGCCCCGCTGCCGTCAGCCCGAACCTTCTTCAACGATGGGCTCGCGACGCATCGGCGTCGGCACCGTCAGCGACGCACCGGCACCGTGGCCGTGGAGAACATTGGGCCCCACACCGAGCCGCACCGCCGATGCATCGGCGATGTGGCGCGATGCTCCGTCGGTATCTGCTCGGACCCCCATGTGGGGGCGCTGGGCCACTTTTTCAGCTCCTACAGTCGGGGCGTTGACCTAAGGAACCCTGGATAAGGAACGGGGCCCCTTTCTCCCATAAGTTGAACTTCGATTTCCCATGGAAAACCTCAGGAAAACAGAAGGCGAACTGCAAAACAACTAAGGAACACCGAGCCCCTCCCCAACGAAAAGGGTTCCTTCCTCAGCGCCCCGACTGTACGCCGAACCCAGGCCGGCCACCGAGCAGCTCCCAAACCGACGGGCGGAAAAGGGGCAAATCGGGCACACGTGTCTCCCAAACCAGGCGCAGCCAGGGGGATTGGCTGACCCCCGTTGGTAGAGGAATAAAAAAACACATTAGCATCAGAGTGAGGGGGCCGAACGGTCATTCATTGTCCCTGGCTGCGTGGCTCTAGTGGGGATCCGTGGTGAGGATTCTGCTTGTTGCGTTGTTGTTGTTGTTGTTGTTGATGTTGATGTTGATGTTGATGTTGTTGTTGTTGTTGTTGTTGTTGTTGTTGGTGGTGGTGGTGGTGGTGGTGGTGGTGGTGGTGGTAGTGGTGGTGTTTGTTGTTGTTGGTGTTGTTGTGGTGGTTACTGTTGCTGTTCTTGTGAATGTTGTGTGTTGTTTCTTTGTTGTTTGTTGTTTGTTGCTGTTGGTGTTGGTGTTGATGTTGTTGTTGTCATCCCCCCTGCGACCACCCCGCGACCCACCCCGCGACCCACCCGCGACCCACCCCATGACCCGCCCGAGACCCACCCGCGACCCACACTGCGACCCACACCGAGATCCACCCGCGACCCACCCCGCGACTCACCCCGCGACCCCACCCGCGACCCACCCCGCGACCCACCCCGCGACCCCACCCGCGACCCACCCCGCGACCCCACCCGCGACCCACCCGCGACCCACCCGCGACCCTGCCCGCGACCCGCCCGCGACCCACCCGCGACCCACCCGCGACCCACCCCGCAATCCACCCACATTGCTTTAGCGAAGAAATGCGGCGGGCTCAATGTATAATTAGTGCAAGTTAGGCGCCTGCGGCGGGCTTATTCAGAGCCTCGCAGATTGACGACGTCCTCGCCACCCCCTCCCTCTTATCCGCAACTGCTGGGTGCTACGTAAACTTTTGGCGCTCCGTGCGGATTTGTTGGATGCGCGCTGGGCCCCCCCTCGCTGACGCGCGGAGCGCGCCAGGGGCGGCGCCAGAGGCGCCACGGGGGGGGCCCAACGCGGATCCAAGAAGTCCGCGCGGAGCGCACAAAGTTTGTGTGTTATGGCATTTTTGCTACTTCGAATTGGAGCTGACCCCCGCTTTGTGAGGCCCGAAATGGGCACGGAAAGAATGGGTACAATGCCCAACAACAAATATTGTCCCAAACCATCAGCGGCCGCTGTTGGGCAGGCGGCCTTCTGTATCGAATGAACACAGGCCGCGGCGGCGTGGACAGCGAATCCTGTTTCAAAATGAACAGGAACTGCTGTTGGGCACTGTACCCATTCTTTCCGTGCCCATCGCGGGCGTCCAGAGCTTTGTGAGGCCCGATGGACCTTCTTCAGCTCCTTCACCGGCTGCTCGTCCAGGCGGGCGTCGAAGGTCTCGAAGAGGGAGTGCACCTCGCGGCGCGCCCGCCGCTGCGGGGCCCAGCTGCCCGCGGTCTCCCGCTGCGTGCGGTTGAGCTTCTGGTTGTAGAACCTGTCTGTGGCAACTCACGGCTGCTTGGCAAAACGTGTTCGGCCACGCGCGGAGGGGGGGGAAGGTCAACCCGCGCAGTGAGGGCGCTCCTTCTCGTCCTCCTCCTCCTCCTCCTTCTCCCCGTCCTCCTCCTCATCCTCCTCCTCCTTCCCCGCCCCCCGCCATCTCAGAAGGCCGCCCCCCTCGCGCCCCCATGGGAGTCTCGAGTGCCATCTCGCGGGCTCCTGCGAACGTCGGCAGGGATCGCAAAACGAGTCGACGCCAAACTGGCGCTCGGTCATCGGCTACAAGACGCTGGCGCACGCTGGCGCACCCCAATGGCGGAATTCCGAGGGACACGCAAGGCCCCCATGAGGTGCTGACGAAGAACCTGTCCAGGGTCTCCGCGCGGGAAGTGTTGACAAACGTCCTCTTCGCCTCCCACTCCGTCGTCTCCGCCTCGAACCGGTCGAGCCGCTCCATGGTGTCGGCGTCCGTGCGAAGCCTGGGGCCATGCCAAGCTTTCCAGGTGTTGACGCCCGAGAACGTGGGGTCGTCCCACTTGTTCACCTTCGGGCAGAAGGCCCCCCAAACAGGCTTGAGCATGAGCCATCCAGATGAGCATAGACGGAGAGGGAGAAGGATGGGATCGGGATAACAGAGGTAGGGATCAAAGGCTGGGGATAGGGACAGGGAACGGGAGACAACGGGAGAGAACGGGAGACAACGGGAGACAGTCGGAGTCGCACCGATGTCCGAACGCGGGACCCCCGTGCTCGGCTTCTTGGAAGCAGCGCTCGGGAACAGAGCAGGCTCGGAGAGGAGGAGGAGGAGGAGGAGGAGGAGGAGGAGGAGGAGGAGGAGGAGGGGGAGGAGGAGGAGGAGGAGGAGGAGGGGGAGGAGGGGGAGGAGGGGGAGGAGGAGAGCAGCGCTCGGAGCACTTCGCCCGCCGATGCCCCCGTGGCGCAGGCGGCACGCACGGCAGCTGCCGACACCCCCGCAGCGCCGCGAGAAGGTCAGCCCGCAGCGGGAGAGCCCCGACGGTGACGACGACGACGATCACGACGACGACGACGACGACGACGACGACGACGACGACGACGACGACCCTCGCCATGAGACAGAGATGATGGGCCCCTCGCCATGGGCCTGCTCTCCACCACCACCACCAGTTGGAGGGGGGACGGAGGTGGAGGATGAGAAGGAGGAGGAGGAGGAAGAAGAGGCCCCCTCCCCCCCCCCAGCTTTGTTGTGGTGGTGGGGAGTGGAGGAGACGAGAAAAAGAGAAATGCACCTTCGGGCGCTGGGAGTAGAAGGTCTGGTTCTTGATCATCTGCCCGGACTTGGTGCGCCACCCGAGCCCCCCGACGTCGGGCACGCGGCGCTCCAGCTCGAACGGCACGTGGCCGAACACGTCGCGCTCCCTCCGCTTGTCGTCCGCGCCGATCTCCTCCGCTGCGTGGCGGCGAAGGGGCTCCTTCGGATGATGGGCGTGTCTTCCACCACCATTACCACAAGTTGGGGGGGAAGGAGGAGGAGGAGGACGAGGAGGAGGAGGACGAAGAGGAGGAGGAGGAGGAGGAGGAGGAGGACCCCTTCACCCTCCTACGAATGATGGTGGTGATGGAAGACAGGCCCATCATTAGAGGTCCCCCAACAGCGGTCCGAGTGGATGGGGTCGAGGAGTCGTGCCGCACAGCCGATGCATCACCGATGCAGCGGCGGTGCGCATCGGCGACGTCGACGTCGGCGACGTCGAGCCGCATCGGCGATGCAGGAGCGATGCGGCGCGAGATCCTCCGACACCGTCTGCTCCCCTCGGACCCCAGCCTGGGAGGCCCGGGTCCTTGTGAGCTCTGGCCCCCATCGACGAGAAGGCGGCGTGCTCTGGAGAAACGTCGCCGCCCTTCAACCCCATGTTGTCCACCCGCCTGCAAATCGGGGGAAAACAAACCTACCTCGCTTTTGACCACCCTCGCTTCCAAGAGATACCAAACGATGCCAAATTGCGGCCTGTACTGGTCAGGCCGCTTGACGAGGAGGCGCGTGGTATGGCTTGGTTTTGCCTGGAAGCGAAAGCGGGGGAGGTAATTCACGCTCTGATGCAAATCGGGGGGTCCGGCCGACCGCCTCACCGATCCTGGCTGACGCCCGTGTGTACGCCCTCCGGGTTTGACCAGGGATGGGGAGCAACACCAGGAGGGCACGGGATCAGGGGGGGGGGAAGCATCGAGCTGGAACCGGGGATGCATCGCCGATATACTGGCGGTAGGCTCCCGATAGCGAATCTGGACGTGCCTGGGCGGCGTGGGCTACCCCGGCCCCTATCAGCGATGAATGGGCGATTGGGGGTTGATGCAGCCCCCCCTGGAGTCTACGATGCATATTTTCGATCGATTAATACCTCGCCAAGCAACTTAAGCTGTAGCTGCACTGTAAGCGCTACAATCAATTATCATTCCTAGCGGGCATGCTGTCGTTGCGCAATGGCCGGCGCACGGTGGTCGACCAAGCTGGGGTGGGTGCCAAGTCGCAGAAGAATCTGCACGATTGGACTGGGAAGGGTTCTGGGGTTGAGAAAGCTTGTACATAGAGAACGCTTGGGTTGGGATGGCTTTTGGGGCTGAGCAGATTTGTGGACCGAAAATGATTGAGTTGGATAGGATTTGTTGGGAAAAAGTATGGGGTCAGGAAGGATTCTGCACAGACAAAACGTAGATTTGGCATGAGTTTAGGATCCCGGGGGATTTTGCACTGAAAGCGCTTGGGCTGGGAAAGAGCTTGAAAGTGGGAAGGAAGGTCAACTGAAAGCAGCTACATTGGAAAGTATCGTGGGGTCAGGAAGGATTTTACACAGAAGCGCTTTGGCTGACAATGATCTTGGAGCTATGACTGACGTTAACTAGAAAACGCGTTGGTTCGGACAGATTTTTGGGTCAGGAGCGCTTTGACACAGAACATGATTTGGCTGCGAAGGATTTGGGGGCTAGGAAGACTTGAACTAGAAAGCGCTTTGGTTTGGGAAAGGATTCGCGGTTAGGAAAGATGCTGCACAGAAAACGCTTGGGCTGGGAAGGACTTGCTGGTGTCTGGACGGGTTTTACACGGAAGGCGGTTAGGCTGGGAGAGATGTTACACAGAACACGCCCAGGCTGGGAAATAGTTTCCCATCAGGGATGCATTCAAATAGAAATCGCTTTGGTTGGGAGGGACTTTGGGGCTAGAGAAAATACACAACACATGCCGGGGATGGAACTGATTTTTGGGTTACAGAAGATTTGAAGCAGACCGCGCCTTGGTTGGGAGGGGTTTGGACGTTACGGGGGTGAGTTTGCACAGAAGGCGATTGGGCTGGGAATGATGTTGGGTTTAGAAAAGATGTTAGATACAAAACGGTTTGGTTGGGACGGGTTTTGGGGATGGAACATAGTTAACGCAGAAGACGCTTGGGATGGGACGGGTTCTGGGGCTAAGAAGGATCTTGCATCGAAACCGCGTTGGTGGGGAAGCATCTGGAGCGTAGCGAGGAGTTTACACAGACAACTCTTGGGCTGGGACGGACTCTTGGGATTTGGAAAGATTTTGAGCAGAACGCGCGTCGAGTGTGGGGGGGGGGGGAATTCTGGGGCCAGGAAGGAGTTTGCACAGAAGGCGCTGTGGCTGGGATGGAACCTGGATTTAGGACTGCTTTTGAATAGGCAGCGCAATGGTTGGGAAAGGTTCTTGGGCCAGGGAAAAGTTTGCGCGGAAAGCGTTTGGACTGAGACGAATGTTGGGGCGAGGGGAAACTTGAACTAGAAAGCGCATTGGTTGGGGGGAGAGTTTGAGATCATGGCGGATTGTGCGCACAACGCGCCTGGGATGGGAAGGATTCTGGTGCTCGGAACGATTCAGAGAACGCGTTGGTTGGAACGGATTCGAGGGCTTGGAATGACTTTGTACAGCAAAAGCGTGGACTGGGAATGATTCTGCGATTCGGAAGGATGTTGAATCGAAAGCGCGTTAATTGGGCAGCATTTGTGAGGTGGAACAAGTTCAAATAGAACCCAGTGTGGCTGGAAAGGATTTGGTGGGCAGGAAGGACTTGACACAAGCAACGCTTGCGTCGCGGCAGAATTCTGGCCCAGGAACATGTTGCATAGAAGACGCGCGGGCTTGGGTTCTTTTTGGGGCGGATAATGATTTTGCACAGAAGGCGCATGGCCCGAGAAGGATTATTGGGAAGAAGGGGTTTCACACTGAAAACGCATCGGAAGCGCTGCGGCTGGTAAAGATGTTGTGGCCAGGGCGGATGTTGCGCAGAAAAAGCTTGGGCTGGGACGGACTCTGGGGTGAGGGAGGATCTTAACTAGACAGCGCGTTGGCTGGGAAGGGAGCTGGAGTCAGGAACGATCTGTATAGGAAATGCATGTGCTGGCACTAAGCTTGGCAATAAGACAGAATTTCAATAGAAAACAAGTTGGTTGCACCATAGCATGGGGTTGGGAATGGTTTTACACAGAAGACGCTTCGACTGGTGAGGCTGTTGTGGGTCGGAAGAGTTTCACTTAGAAAACGCTTTGGTTGGGAAAGAGTTTGGGGTTGTGAGGGGTTTTACACAGAAGACGCGCGGGCTGGGAAAGGCTTCGAGGGGTAAGCGGGCGTTGGATCGAACCCGCTTTGGTTGGGGAGGGTTCTGGAGTTGCTGAGGATGTTGCACAACAGACGCGTTTGTAGTGGAAAGGATGCCACGTAGAAAAAGCGCTGGTCGGGGGGATTTCGGGAACAAGAACGGTGTTACACACAAAAGCGCTAGGGCCGGGGCGGATATTAGAGGTATGAGTGGTCTCAACTATAAGATGCATGGTTGGGAAGGATCTGGGAATTAGGAAGGATTGTGCAGTGACGGCGCTTGGGCTGGGAGGGATTTCGAACTATGAGGGGTGGTATATCGAAACCTCTGGGGCTGGTACGGATCTTAGGGTTAGGAAAGGTGTTACACAGAAGCCTCACAGGTTGGGCACTGGTTGGGATGGTTTCTAGAGCATCGAATGCTTTTAACACGAAAAGGTGTGGGCTGGGACAGGTATTGGGCTTCGGAAGGATGTTGCATAAAACGCGCTGCGCTTGGGCTGGGACGGATCCGGGGTGCAGGAAAGATTTGGAATAGAAAACGTGCTGGTTGGAACTGGTTGTGGGGTCGGGAAGGAGTTTAAGGAGAAAGCGCTTGGGGTGGGACGGAACCTGGGGCCAGGAAGGATCTTAAAAAGGCAACGCGCTGGCTGGGATTGATTTTGGTGGCAGGAATGGTTTTACATAGGAAACGCTGTGGATGGTGAGGATCCTGGGCTCATGGCGGATTCTGCGTAGAAAACAATTAGGCTGGGACGGATTTCAGTGGCAGGAGCTCAATAGAAGAGACGTTGATTGGGGCGGATTTTGGTGTGAGGACTGGTTTTGCACAGAAGACTCTTGGGCAGGGAATAACTCTGGGACTGGGGGGGGGGTGAACAGAAAACGCCTTGGCAAGCAAAGATGTTTGGGGCTGGCACTGATTTTACACGGAAGACGCTTGGGATGGGAATGATTTGGGGCGTGGAATGATGTGAAACAATGGAAGCGCTTTGGTTGGGACGGGTTCTTGCGTTAGAGCGGCGGCTGCACATAATACGATTGGGCTGGGAAGCAGTTTGGATTTGTTTTAACTAGGAAGCGCTTTTGGTTGGGCCCGATTGTGCACTCATTAAATATTTTACACAGAAGGCGCGTGGACTGGGAATGAATGTTCCCAAACAATTAGCCTGGCGAAGGACCCAACCATATGCAGCTGCGAGTACCGCGCGGATCTGAGACGAAGGAGGGGGCACGCAAACTAGGCCCCTCTTCTCATAGGCACCGCGCCACTGGGGCCTTCGGTGGAGCTCCCTATGTGGCCACGAAGCGTGTGAAGGGTGTGCCGAAATGGGTGGTGGGGAGGCATGCGAACGCAGCCACTGGGGCCTTCGGTGGAGCTCCCTATGGGGCCACGAAGCGTGTGAGGGGTGTGCCGAAATGGGGTGGGGGGCATGCAGCCACTGGGGCCTTCGGTGGAGCTCCCTATGGGGCCACGAACGTGTGAGGGGTGTGCCGAAATGGGTGGTACTGGGGCCTTCGGTGGAGCTCCCTATGGGGCCACGAACGTGTGAGGGGTGTGCCGAAATGGGTGGTGGGGAGGCATGCGAACGCAGCCACTGGGGCCTTCGGTGGAGCTCCCTATGGGGCCACGAAACGTGTGAGGGGTGTGCCGAAATGGGTGGTGGGGAGGCATGCGACGCAGCCACTGGGGCCTTCGGTGGAGCTCCCTATGGGGCCACGAAACGTGTGAGGGGTGTGCCGAAATGGGTGGTGGGGAGGCATGCGAACGCAGCCACTGGGGCCTTCGGTGGAGCTCCCTATGGGGCCACGAAACGTGTGAGGGGTGTGCCGAAATGGGTGGTGGGGAGGCATGCGAACGCAGCCACTGGGGCCTTCGGTGGAGCTCCCTATGGGGCCACGAAACGTGTGAGGGGTGTGCCGTGTGATGCCGAAAAGGCATGCGAAGCCACTGGGGCCTTCGGTGGAGCTCCCTATGGGGCCACGAAACGTGTGAGGGGTGTGCCGAAATGGGTGGTGGTTGCAGCCACTGGGGGTGGAGTCCCGGGGGCAGAAGCTCCCTATGGGGCCACGAAACGTGTGCCGAAATGGGTGCATGCGAACGCAGCCACTGGGGCCTTCGGTGGAGTGGGGCACGAAAAGGGGTGTGCCCATGAGGGGCCTTCGGTGGAGCTCCCTATGGGGCCACGAAACGTAGGGTGTGGGTGGTGGGGAGGCATGCGAACGCAGCCACTGGGGCCTTCGGTGGAGCTCCCTATGGGGCCACGAAACGTGTGAGGGGTGTGCCGAAATGGGTGGTGGGGAGGCATGCGAACGCAGCCACTGGGGCCTTCGGTGGAGCTGCCTCTGGGGCCACGAAACGTGTGAGCGGTGTGCCGAAATGGGTGGTGGGGAGGCATGCGAACGCAGGAGGGAGGAGGGCGAGGAGAAGGAGGAGGAGGAGGAGGAGAAGGAGAAGGAGGAACGCGGGGACCGTCTCTTCAAAACGAGGACCCAACACCACAGGATGGTTGGGAAAAAACGGTTTGTTGGGACGGGCTTTCGAGTAAGAAGGAAATCGTCTGGGCTGGGAATGAGTTCGGTGCTCGGAAGAATGTCAAATAGAGGGCGCTTCGGTTTGGGAAGACTCCGGGGCTCGGGACGACTTCACACAGATAGCACTTGGGATTGGACCGGGTTTCGGGCTAGGGATGATTTCTAACTGAAGACTCTTTGGCTGGGGCGGGTGTTGGGTTGGAACGGTTTCAACTAGAAAACGCGTTGGTTGGGAAAGCTGTTGGAGCTAGGCCCGATTTTTCTCGGAAAGCTGGTGGTGAGGCACGTCTCTACATAGAAAGCGCATTGATTGGATATGCTTTGGGTGTTAGAATGGATTTGCAAAGAACGAGCGCGGGCTGGGAATGATTTGAGGCTGCGAGGGGAGTTGAATAGAAAAAGCGTCGGCTGTTAAGGATTGTGTTGTCGAGAGGGGCTGTGCATCGAAAACGCGTGGGCTGGGAAAGATTGTGGGGTCAAGGGCGATTTTAAACAGAAAGCGTGTTGGTTGGGATGCGTTTGCGATGTAAGCCCTTCCCAACTTTACACCGTCCCAAATCCAGCGTTCTCTGTATAACAATTCGCCCTGACCCAACGCATGGTTATTTCAAATCCTAACTGGCTCCAAAATCCTTCCCCACCAATTCGCTGTTCTGTGCGAAATCCTCCCTGACCCTGGAGTCCGTCCTAACCAAAGCTGGTTCCGTGGAACATCATCCCTGGCACCAGAATCCTCCCCAGCCCAAGCATCCTCAGTGTAAAACAAAGCATCGCCCGAAAGCCCTTCCCAACCAGATCACCTTCTACTTAAATCCTTCCTGACCCAGGCATCTGTCCCAGCCCAAGCGCCGTCTGTGCAAACTCATGCCTAGCACCCGAATCATTCCCAGCAAATGCGGTTTCCCGATGAAATCTACCAGAAACCATGAATCTCCATCAATCCAAGCGTTTTCGGTGTAACATCTTTTCGTGCAAACGACTCCTATGCAAGATTTCCTTATGAACCTGAGATCCCGTCCCAGCCCAAGCGTTCTCTGTATCAGATCCGCCCTGACCCCAAAGCCCTTCACAGCCAAAGCGCGTTGTATATACAATCCGTCGTGGAACTAAGATCCTTCTCAGCCCTGGCGTTGTTTGTGCAAAACCCTTCCTAACACCCAGGCCCTTTCCAACCAACGCGTCTCGTATTTAAAACCCTTCCTAGCCCCAAAATCCTTCCCAGCCCACGGGTCTTCTGTGCAAAATCCGTCCCAGCACCAGCACTATTCTAAACCAGCGCTTTCAATATTTAGAATCACTCCGAACCCCAAAATCACTGCCAGTCCAAGCGCTTTCTGTGTAAATGCCTTCCTGCACCCAAGGCTTACCAGCCAAAGCGTCCTCGATGGAAAAACATTCCAAACCCCAGAACCCGACCCAGCCCAAAGCATCTTCTGTGTAAAATCATTCCTGGCCCCAATCAAAGAGTTGTTTCATAACCAGTCCTACCCCAAAACTCATTCCCGGCCCTTGAGTGTTCTATGCGAAATCCCGCCTAACACTCAAACCTTCCACAACCAAAGCGTCGGTTATTGAACAATCTTCCTAACACCGAGAGCATTCCCTGCCCAAGCATTGTCTGTGCGAAATCCTGTCTAACCCTAAACTGCTTCCCAGTCCAAGCGTTGTCTGCGTGAAATCGTTGCTTCACCGCAGGATCCTTCCCAACCGAAGCGCCTTCTGTGTAAAATCCTCCCCCGGCCCCCGAATCCTTCCCAACCGAAGCATTTTCTTTTGAAAGTCCGAACCCCCCAAACCCTTCCCGGCCCCAACGTATCCTGTGTAAAATCCGCATCAGTCCCAACATATGTACCAACCCACGCGTTTTTTCGTGTAAAACCATTCCCAACCTCAAACTCATTTCCAACCCAAGCGTCTTCGGTGAAACATTCCTGACCCCGAGATCCGTCCCAACCGCAGCGTCTTCTGATTCAAATCCTTCCTAACCTCGGAATCCTTACCAACCAAATCGCTTTCTGAATAAATTCTTCCCAACCCCAGAATATGTTCCAATCCAAACGTTTTCGGTGAGAATCCTTCCCAGCCCCAGAACCCTTCCCAGCCCAAGCGTCTTCTGTGCAAAACCCGCAGCAGTCACAAAATCCGTGACAACCCACGCGTTTTCTGGTAAAGCGCTTCCCGACCCCAAAATCCTTCCCAGCCGAAGCGTCTTCGGTGTAAAATCTTTCCCAGCCAAACAATCCCTTCAACCCCAACGTTTTCTGCAAAATCCTTCCCAACCCCAGACTCCTTCCCAACCCATGCGCTTCCAAAATCCCTCCCAACTCCCGCGCTTTGAGTTACATTTCTCCGTGGCGCGCGCTACAGCAAGTAGCCCCTGAACCAAATCACGCCGCGCTGCAGCGAAAAGAATATATGGTACCCCCCTCCCCCGGTGTTGCCCCTGACTCGCCATCGCTCGGACGTCCATTCCCTGTGTTTTTTTTCGGTTTCGTGTGTGGTTTCTTCGCCAAATGATAAGGATGCTCCTCGATGGCCCTCGCCGAAGGAAAATGCACACGTCCGAGCGATGCCAAGATATATGGTACCCCCCTCCCCCGGTGTTGCCCCTGGGAGGCGGCGTGGACACCGATCCTGGGCCCAGGATGGGCCCAGCCAGGATCAGTGAGGCGGTCAGCTGACGCCCCTCCGACAAGGAGCGGGGGAGCGCTCGAGCACCAGCAGACCTCTGCATGCCCGCCCTCGAGCCCGCTCCTTGGCGGGCTCGTCCGGGCCTCCCGCCGCCCCGCCCAGTGACGTGCCAGCGCGAGGTCTGGGCCGGTAGAGGCAAGGTGGTCGTGGTTGCTCTCTCTCTTTCTCTCTCTTTCCCTCTCCCACTCCCCTCTCCCTCTCCCTCTCTCAGAAGTCTCCCTCTCTCCCCCTCTCTCCTTCTCTCCCCCTCTGCCCCTCTCTCCCTCTCTGCCCCTCTCTCCCATTCTCTCGCTCCATCTCTCTCTCTCTCTCTCTCTCTCCCAGCTTCTCTCTCACGGGAGAAGACGAAGTAGAGACAACGTCATAACGCATAGACTCGCGGGGATCCCTGGGATCTGCGTTGGACCCCCCTCCCAGGCACAACACGCGAGGCGCCGCCACGGGAGCCCCGCGCAGACCCAAGCAATCTGCGCGGACCTCCGAGGGTTCATGCCCTGTGCCGTGCTTCGTCGAACGAAGGATTGCAAAGGATTGCAAAAAAACCCAACGAAGGATTGCAAAAAAACCGAAGGATTGCAAAAAAAACCCTGGCTTGAACGAAGGATTGCAAAAAAAACCTTCGTTCAAGGGGTTTTTTTGCAATCCTTCGTTCAAGGGTTTTTTTTGCAATCCTTCGACCCTCCTGGCCGCCTGCCGCCGTCGTCCATGTTCATCAGCGCCAGCATCCCCGCCATGGCCCCTGCAGCAGCCCAGGGGGGGGGCCTCCCCAAACGGTCGGGGGCCCCCCGGCGGGCTCTTGTGCGCGCGGCGGGCTGCAGAACCGCAGGAGAGCGCCGCGTGGTGGGGGAGGTGCGGCTGCAGCCGAAAGGACTGCGGAGAAGGGGCGGGAGGGAGCGGGAGTATGAGGAAGAGCAGTGCGAGGGAGTCCGGGGGCTCCACGGCCCCTCCAGGGTGCTCTGGGAGCGGTCGCGGAGGCCCCGGTCCCCCCATGCACTCGCCAGGTCGTGGCCCCGGGCGCCTGGGCTTCTTGCGCGGGTATATATATATATATATATATATATATATATGTACATATATATACACACACCCCTATACATATATATATATATATATATATATGTATATAGGTGTGTGTGTGTGTGTGCGTGTGCGTGTGCGTGTGCATGTTTTCGGGACACTCGTTTTTTATATCCTTACGAAACCTAGAGTGTTTGAAACATTTCGGCACACGTGCGCGACGACGCGCGCGTGTGCACTTCGTCCCATCTGTTGCAAGGGATTATTGCGACAACACGCGCGCAAGGGCGTTCGAACGAATCCGACATGCGCGCGCGAGAGGCCCGTTTGGTAGCATGTTATGAGCATGTTGAACCACCGATGGCTTCCTTGAGAGTCTGCAAGAGCGCGAGGGCAATTTTTTGTTTGAAAACCGTGTTGCGAAACCATGTGTTGTATGTGTTTTCGGGGCACTCGATTGGGAAACCCTCATGACACCCAAGATTGTTGAAGGATTCCGGCAAGTGCAATAGGTGTTGTGCAACACATGCGGTGAAATCAATGGAGTGCAACCTAGGTTGTGCAAAACATGTGGTGCTGTGCAATCTATGTGGTGCAGTGTAGATTGTGCAACCTCTGCAGTGGAATCTACGTCGTGCACACTACGGTGTCCAGTATGCGACGCAATCTACGTTGGGCAACCTATGTTGTGCATCTATGCGGCGACGATGCGGCGGCGGGGCGGCGACGGTGGCCACACAGCCGCCAGACCGCCAGCCAAGCCCAGATTACGGGCGGCGACGAGGCGGCGACGTGGCGGCGACGGCGGCAACATAGCCGCCAGACCGCCAGCCAGGCCCAGTCCCATAGAACCGAAGTAAGAACCCCTAAGTTCAAAAACTGTTTGGGAAAAAATGTGTACCATATGAGCAGGGGGGTCCGTTCCAACGCGGGGCTGTCGCCGGGCATTTCCTTGACAACATGCGACGTACTCAGACCTTTCTAAACATGTGGCGGCTATGCCTAAGATCGCTCAATATGAACGCACATGCCGAGGGACCCACAACGCGCAAGAGGCAAGAGCACCCCTCCGTGCACGGGAAGCCGCGAGGTATCGGCTAGGCCTGCGTGGCCCTACGCTCCGCTGGACCTGAAGCCCGCGAGACTGGCGACGGTTACGCACTTCGCGCAGGTCGGGCCTGTCCCCCTGCAGGCCGGCTTTGGAGGAAGATTTAGAAATAGTCAGAACGAATCAGCAAACATTGCCAGCACATACCAGAAAAAGTAGCCCCAGACTAGTTGTTTGGCCAAGTTTGCATCTCTTGCCGTCGCTCGGACGTCCATTTCCCGTGCATTTGTCGGTTTCGCGCGTGTTTCTTTTGCTCGATGGCCCAGGATGCTCCTCGATGGTTCTCGCCGAGACAAAACTGCACACGTCCGACCGATGCCAAGATCTCCCTCCCTGTGGAGGGCCAGGCCCGACTTCACACCGCGCAGCCCTCCCCCCGGAGCCCGGGGGTTCTCGGCCGAGCCGGCGCGTCCCTCCGCGCACCTGGACCTCCCAGGGGCCCACGAAGGTGGCGACGGCTGCGCACTTCGCAGGACTGCTCCTCCTCCCTACCTCCTCCTCCTCCTCCTCCTCCTCCTCCCTCCTCCTCCTCCTCCTCCTCCTCCTCCTCCCTCCTCCTCCTCCTCCTCCTCCTCCTCCTCCTCCTCCTCCTCCTCCTCTTCCTCCTCCTCCTGATCCTGATCCACTGTCTCCTCCACACGCTTCTTCACCTTTTTCCCGTCCTCCTCTTCTGCCATTCCTGCTGTTCCGCCTGCGTTCAAGGCAACAGCACCGAATTCCAGCCCCAAGTCAAGCCGATCCTCTGCCTGGCTCGGACTTCTCGCTGACGCAGCCCGGCTCACGGCAATTGCTCAATCCAGCACACGGCCGCCGCCTGGCTGCGAGACGCTTTGCTCCAGCAGCGGGTTGATGTAGCCCCGTCCATTTTGCCTCAAGGAAGCCCACGTGTTCGCTGACGGTCGGGAAGTTTAGCATAGTGTGTCGCGGCGGCGGCCCCGGCGACGAGCCTATGCCTGCCCGGCAAGATGATAGTGCTCCAGAGATTGAAGCCTGAGGAGCGGGACGTGGATAGTGTTTCGCGCCGAGGCATGGTGGGCCAGAACTGGCGGAGCGACACGCTAAGCCAAAGCTCCCGACCGTGCGCCCCATACGGATCCCTCCCAACCATCCCTGTGCGAGGCTGTCACCCCAGCGACGGGCAGCATTTGGACCGACGGCAGCAAATCTGATTGCCTCAACCCCACCGACGTCGATCGAAACTGGCTGCGGTTGGGGACCGCCACCGGTCCCAACCAGGCCCATCCTGGGCCCGGGGTCCGCCCAGCCAGGGTCGGTCAGATGTGCTTCGTGCTTTACTTTCTGTTTGCGGGGGGGGGGGCAGGGCCAAGGGGTGGGGGGGTTATCTGACAGCACTGTGTAGTGAGGCTTGGGGCTGCGCGCAGTCAGCCCCCCCCCGAGAAAGCCCCGGCTGGCCTCAGCCTCAACAGGCCCCCCCGAACAGACTGGGGCGCTCTCGACGCCCCAGCGCTCCGCGCCCGAGGGTTGAGGGGCTGAGACTGCCCAGGGCGGCACGCTGCCTTTGCGCAGCCCGAAGCCTTCGCGGCACTGTGTCTGGAGGCGCCCGGCACCTCGTCACGCCGCGTCTCCGTGCCGCAGCATCGCCTCGAGCACGCCGGTGGGGCCGTGCGCCTCGAGCGCGGCGCGGCCGAGGGCCCTGCAGAACAGCGCGGAGGGCGCCACGTCCCAGCAGCCGGGGCGGACCACCGCGAGGTCGGAGCACGTACTCGGGCGGCGGTGCGGCTCGAAGGCCGAGGATCGAAGGTCGATGTGTTCAATACCATGGGACGCGCAGGGACATGCTAGTACTGTATGTCCGCCTTGGAGGCGTGCGTCCGAACTGAACATCTGGTACGCCCAGCATGCAGCATGTCGTTTCCCGGACGGCATGGCCAGACAGCGCCCGCCACGGAGCTCGTGCTATCATAGTCCCTGGCGCGCGCGCGCTGCCCCTTCGGGGGGCGACGCACTCACAGTATCAGGATGATGTGGTGACGCCGACGTTGGCGCACGCACGACAGGCGTGCTGGCCATACCAGCTCGTGTCTGCTCTTAGGGCTTCTTCGATTGGCAATTGGATGGGGGCCGTGGGGGCTCGGTTGGTGCCCACCTGGCCATCGCTCGGACGTCCATTCCCTGTGCTTTGTTCGGTTTCCTGTGTTTTTTTTTTTTTGCCAAATGATCAAGGATGCTCCTCGATGGTCCTCGCCGAAGGGAAAATGCACACGTCCGAGCGATGCCAAGCCACCCCAGTGCGCCTCGTGGGCGCAGCGTGCGCTGGGTGGCTGTGCCAGATTGTTCGGCAAATGCCCACCCGTGGGCGCCGCGTGGGCGCCTCGTACTGGGTTGCTTGCACCATGCACTCTGCACTACGCAGCCTGCGCCACATAGCTTGCACCGCATAGCCTGCAACCACATGGCCTGCACCACACAGCTTGCACCGCACAGATTGCGCCACATAATTTGGACCACATGGCTTGCCCCACACAGCCTGCAGCACATAGCTTGCACCGCATTGTTTCCACCACGCAGCTTGCACCACGTAGCTCGCACCACTTCCGTAGGCCCCCGCGCTCTGGGTGCTCCTGCGCGAGGCCGGGGCTTGTCGCGTGACTTTTACGGAGGCCTCGGGACCGTGGTTCGGGATCCACATGTCCGACATGGCCTTAGTTGGTCCCAAGGTCTGTCCTGGAATCCTCTTGCGGGCATCTCCGGCCGTCTTAGAAGCCCTTGCAAGGTGAAATGGGTCCGTGCGTCTCGAATGTAATTGGGTATGGGATCGGAATGGGAGATGTCAGAGTTGGGACACATGTGTGTCATGAAAAGTGCCCAAGACGGCCCAGGAGGACACCAAGATCGCCCCAGGAAAGCCCCCGAAGAACCCAAAAGGGCTCCAAAGTCCCCCAGAACGGCCCCAAGAGAGGCCGAAGAGGGAGGCAACACAGTTTTTCGTTTCACAAGCGTGAGAAAGGTCGCTCCGCGGAGAGGGCGAGAAGAGGAAAGCAGCAGGGGATGGGGATAGCAAGAGCAGCAGCAGCAGCAGCAGCAGCAGCAGCAGCAGCAGCAGCGCAAGCAGGCCGGCGCGCCCGGGCCGCCGCGACGTGGGGGGCGAGCATGAACAGATGCTTCGAGCCCCTTTACTCCGAAAGTGGCCCCCGAGACCGCCAGCAGGCCCCCTAAAAGAACCCCAGGAGGCGGCCCCCGGCCCACGGGCTCCACCGGAGACCCCCCCGAAGGCCGCAAAGGGACATCTCAGAGGCCCCCCAAACGGCGTCTAAGGGGCCGCCCCAAGAGGGCCCCATGACGGCCCAAGTGGTCTCCAAGATGGCCCCAAGAGGGCCCCAAGACGGCCCAAGAGGCCTCCAACACGCCCAAGATGGCATCCAAGACGCCCAAGATGGCCTCCAAGGCGGCCCCGAAGCGCCCCAAGAGGGCCCCAAGTCGGCCCAGAAAGGCCCCCAAGACGGCTCGACGTGCCAAGAACCCACCAAGATGGCCGAAGTTGGCTCGAAGCTGGCCCAAGACGGCCCAAGAGGCCCCCAAGAGGGCCTCCAGGAAGGCCAGAAGAGGCCGAAAACCTTGACCATCCTCAGGTTTTTGACTGATTTTGACATTTGCTTCTTTTCGGCGTTCCGACGGCCCGAGACGGCCCAAGAGCCCCCAAAGATCGCAAGATCGCCCAATAGGCCTCCAAGATGGCCCCAGAACGGCCCAAAAGGGCCCCAAGACGGCCCAAGAGGCCCCCAAGACGGCCCAAGAGGCTTTTAAGACGCCCATGATGGCCTCCCAGACGGCCCTGGAGCATTCCAAGAGGGCCCCAAGTCGGCCCGTAGAGGCCCCCAAAACGGCTTCCGACGGCGTCAGACGGACCAGGAGTCCACCAAGACGGCCGAACATGGCCCTAAGATGGCCCAAGACGGCCCAAGAGGCCTCCAAGAGGGCCTCCAGGAAGGCCCGAAAAGGCCAAAATCAGTGATTTCCGATGGGTTTTTGAACGATTGTGGCATTTGCTGTTTTTCTGCCTTCCGACGGCCCGAGACGGCCCAAGTGCCTCCAAAGATCGCCCAAGAGGCCCAAGACACGGCCCCAAGAGGCCCCCGAGACGGCCCAAGAGGTCTCCAAGACGCTCAAGATGGCCTCCAAGACGGCCCAAGAGCCCTCCAAGACGTCCTCCAAGAAGGCCCGAAAGGGTCAAAATGGCCTCCAGACGGCCAAGATGACCTTGAAGATGCCCACGTGTTCCCCGAATGCTTTCCAAACCGATTCGGGGAACACATGGTCCGATAGCTTGGCAGGTCTGGCCTCAACGTTCGGCCACATAGGCGCTTCCAAAAAGGCAGGGGGCAGCAGTGATTCGCCGTAGGCATCTTCGATCCGCCGCCCCCTGTGGATTCATTGCAGGGGTGCCTGGCGTGCTGAATCCTCTCGGTTTTGGTTTTGGTTCTTTTTCCAGAAGAACTCTCCCTGGGGCTCCGGCGCGTCCCGCCGGGGTCCCGGGAGATTCCCGAAAATCCGTATGTCAATGCCTTTGTTGCCCCAAGTTGGCCAAAGATGGTCTCCAAGACGGCCAAGATGGCCCCCAAGTTCGCCCAAGACAATCCAAGACGACCCCCAAGACAGCCCAAGACGGCCCAAGAGGCCCCCCAGAGGCCTCCAAGATGGCCCAAGAGACCTCCAAGAGGGCCTCGAGGAGGGCCCGAAGAGGCCAAAGTCATTCATTTTCGTTAGGTTTTTGAAGGATTTTGGAATTTGCTTCTTCTCGGTATTCCGACGGCTCAAGACGGCCCAAGAGGCCCCCAAGATCGCCCCAAGATCGCCCAAAAGGGCTCCATGAGGGCCCCATGACGGTCCAAGAAGCCTCCAAGCCGGCCCAAGAGGCCCCCAAGACGGCCCAAGAAACCTTCAAGACGCCCAAGATGGCCTCCAAGGCAGCCCTGGAGCACCCCAAGAGGGCAACAACTCGGTTCTGAGAGGTCCCCCACACGGCTCCCGACGGCGTCAGACGGGCCAGGAGCCCACCAAGATGGCCGAAGTTGGCTCAGAGCTGGCCCAAGAGGCCTCCAAGAGGGCTTCCAGGAAGGCCTGAAAAAAGCTAAAACCCTAAGTTTTCCTTAGGTGTTTGAAGGATTGTGGCATGTCTTTTTTGTTCGGCCTTCCGAAGGCCCGAGACGGCCCAAGAGCCCCCAAAGATCACTCAAAGATCGCCCAAGAGGCCTCCAAGATGGCCCCAGAACGGCCCAAGAGACCCCCAAGACGGCCCCAAGAGGCCCCCAAGACGGCCCAAGAGGCTTTTAAGACGCCCATGATGGCCTCCAAGACGGCCCTGGAGCATTCCAAGAGGGCCCCAAGTCGGCCCAGAGAGGCCCCCAAAACGGCTTCCGACGGCGTCAGACGGACCAGGAGTCCACCAAGACGGCCGAACATGGCCCTAAGATGGCCCAAGACGGCCCAAGAGGCCTCCAAGAGGGCATCCAGGAAGGCCCGAAAAGGCCAAGTTCAATGATTTTCCGTAGGTTTTTGAACGATTGTGGCATTTGCTTTGTTTCGGCCTTCCGACGGCCCGAGACGGCCCAAGTGCCCCCAAAGATCGCCCAAGAGGCCTCCAAGACGGCCCCAAGAGGCCCCCCAAACGGCCCACGAGGCGTCCAAAACGCTCAAGATGGCCTCCAAGACGGCCCAAGAGCCCTCCAAGACGTCCTCCAAGAAGGCCCGAAAGGGTCAAAATGGCCTCCAGACGGCCAAGATGACCTTCAAGATGCCCACGTGTTCCCCGAAGGCTTTCCAAACCGATTCGGGGACCACATCGTCCGATAGCTTGGCAGGTCTGGCCTCAACGTTCGGCTATATAGGCGCTTCCAAAAAGGCAGGGGGCGGCGGTGATTCGCCGTAGGCGTCTTCGATCCGCCAACCCCTATGGATTCATCGCAGGGGTGCCTGGCGTGCTAAACCCTATCTTTTGGTTCTTTTTCCCAAAGAACTCCCCCTGGGGCTGCGGCCCGTTCCGCCGGGGTCTCGGAAGGCCGCGTAAACCGCCTCAGCTCCCCACAACATCCTCCAAGACGGCTCACGATGGCCTCCAAGATGGCCACGTTGGCCCAAGATGGCCTCCAAGACGGCCCCAAGAAGGCCCCCAAGACGGCCCAAGAGGCGTCCAAAACGTTCAACATGGCCTCCAAAACCGCCCAAGATGGTCCAAGACCGCCTCCATGACGGCCCAAGAGAGTCCAAGACGGCCCAAGAGGCCCCCCAGAGGCCTCCAAGACGGCCCAAGAAGCCTCCAAGAGGTCCTCCAGGAGGGCCCGAAAAAGCGAACGTCATTGATTTTCCGTAGGTTTTTGAAGGATTTTGGAATTTGCTTCTTCTCGGCACTCCGACGGCTCAAGACGGCCCAAGAGGCCCCCAAGATCGCCCAAGAGGCCCCCAAGAGGGCCCCATGACGGCCCAAGTGGCCTCCAAGACGGCCCCAAGAGGGCCCCAAGACGGCCCAAGAGGCCTACAACACGCCCAAGATGGCCTCCAAGACGCCCAAGATGGCCTCCAAGGCGGCCCCGAAGCGCCCCAAGAGGGCCCCAAGTCGGCCCAGAAAGGCCCCCAAGACGGCTCCCGACGGCTCCCGACGTGCCAGGAACCCACCAAGATGGCCGAAGTTGGCTCGAAGCTGGCCCAAGACGGCCCAAGAGGCCCCCAAGAGGGCCTCCAGGAAGGCCAGAAGAGGCCGAAAACCTT